CGGTGTACGCGGAGAAGTGACCAAGGCAGCCGCATAGTTGGCGTCAAGAACCACTCGCATTCAAGCTATTTTTCTTTTATAAATGGCGTCGTTCCCGTTTAACCGGCGTACAATGGCATGCACACATACACACACGGCCACACGCACATCGCACTCGTACACCAACGGCCCAGGGTGGTCATTATCTCTACATCTCGTAAGTTATCTGATTTTGTTTTCGCATATGCTGGTGCATAAGTAGTGTTCAGTTTAACGGTATGTGCCTGGAATTTAATGCGCTGACAAAAGCAGTTGCAACAACAGTAAAAAAGTGCAAAAAAGCTTACTAAAACCATTGCAGAGCAGCTAGCGACATATGTACATACATAAGAGTATGTACGTGGTTTCTTTATGAGCATAGCAGGGCGTAAATGGTCGAAGGAGAAGACAATGAAGTATGCTGTGGATCAGTGTAAACATGTTTTACGTGCTCATGCACATATGTATATAGAAATGTATATATCTGTTGTAACCGACATCAGTGTTGCCACTCGTCAATTATTTGTACTCAAATTTAAAAAAAGCTTATCAAAATTAAAATAATTGGGCTTGGTTTTCTCCATACCAAAATTATTAACCAACAATATTTAGATGGCAGCCCTACTCCAAATATAATTTTTTCCCTAATTGTGTAATTGTCTTTTACGCGCTTACATAATTATTTTGTTAGGTTAATACTATTACATTAAACGAGCAATTCTTGTATATATATACGTATATCCATAGCGTTCTCCGATTTTGATGAAATTTTTTACCCAGATAATATTTTGCATTTTAAGGTTATCTGAATAGATGCTATCTCCAAGAAAACTTGTATAAGGTTGCCACCTATTCGAAATCAGTTACAAATTAATTAAAGCATCATAATATGGGTATCAAATGGAAGTTATTTTAAAGTTCCCTAACTCAAAAATATTTTTAATAGGGTTGCCACCTATTTTTAATCGCATATTTATTTAATGTTTTGTTTAGAAAAAAAATGTGAAACATTGCTATTCATGGGTACCAAGAGAAGTTTATTAAACAATGTTATCCCTTAGGATATTAGTGTAAG